CAGCAGCAGCGGCTACGGCCGCCGCAGCCGCAGGTGAGCGCCGCGGAACGGGCAACGGAGTTTGGGAAGTAAATGAGATGAACCTTCGCGGTGCGCCTGTGCAGTGGGATTAGTTTGTTTTCATGTTGGTTGCCTAGAGAGGTAGTGAAGTTTCCGTCGCTGAACCGTATGGGCACAGAGTTGAGCCATGTGCTCTAGGCCGACCCTGTTTAAGCAGGGAGGTTGGACCGGATAACCCACTGTTGCCCCTTCCAACCGGACCGATTCTGGGATTCTGTGTCCTTTTCCCAGTGAGTTTCGCGGCGGGGCTGGGAGGAGGAGGGGGTGGTTTACTAGAAGTTTGCTAGCAAAGGCACGTGGGTTTCTCTCGGAATGGAAGGGTTTCGCCCTGTAGTAGACTTAGCCCCCGGCCACTCGCTCTGAACAATGGCGCCCTCCTAAAACTCATTTTCTTGCCCACGTGCGTCCTGTTCCGCCTTCCCTGTCCCGCAGCACTCGCTCCTGTCCGTGCGTCACCCGTGAGCAGCTTCTAACGCGCCTTTTTTTTTTTCCCTCTACTTTTTTCTCCTGGTATGTTTCAGCCCTAGAAGACGCCGTCGCAGCCGATCTAGAAGCAGGAGCCGCTCTAGGTCCCGCAGTCGGTCCCGCTACAGTCGATCCAAATCCCGGTCTCGCACACGCTCTCGGTCTCGGTCCACCTCCAAGTCCAGGTCTGCCAGGAGGTCCAAGTCAAAGTCCTCATCTGTCTCCAGATCCCGGTCCAGGTCAAGATCCCGGTCCAGGTCTAGAAGCCCTCCCCCTGCCTCAAAGAGGGAATCCAACTCTAGATCCAGGTCTAAGAGCCCTCCCAAGTCTCCGGAAGAAGAAGGAGCTGTATCCTCCTAGGAACATGGTAATGTACCTCGGGATCAGCACAGGATGCATGTTACTTTATTAGAGCACTTAGGTGGGGTGTTGGGTAGTTCTTGGAACATTAATAGCCTGAACCAAGTGAATCCTAGTGGGGCACATGGTTAGTTGTTGGTTTTGTTTGTTTTTTTTTCTTGAGCAGTGTTTTTTTGGTTATTGATTTAGGGAAATAATTACTGAAGGGTTTTCTACGGAGATTTTTTTTTTTAAACAGAGAAAATGTTTTATTGCAAGATTAATGCCTTGGTTTTAATAAAATATTGTATGAGACGCAACCTATGATGAAAATGACTATTTCTTACTGTATTTATCCAACATCTTAATTTTCCCCTTTAAAGCTGCGGTCTCCTGTTTGCTAAAAGAATATTGGCCAGTATTGCAGATTTTAACTGATTTGGCTGATCCTCCAGGGACCAGTTTCTGTGGGCGTGTGTTGGAGCAGGTTTGTCTTACACTGTTAAAGATACACTATCCTTTTAGAACGGAAGATCGGTTCAGTGGCCGTTGTAATGACTGGAGGTAATAACTGTCCTAGAAAAGTGGCAAATTCCTTGGCACGAGAAAACCACGGAAACTAGTTTTTCCTCAAGTCGACATCTTGAAGAGGCATCTAAGGATACACCGGGTGGGGAAAGGATAGTGTGTCTTTAACCCTTCAAATTGTTTGGTCCTGTTTTTTAAAAGGAAAGGGCCTGAGCTAGCTCTGGAGTTAGATAACTGTAGCAAAATTAGTCACATTTTCGGTTTTGAATGCTAATTAGAGCTTAGTTAATTCTTTATGAAAAAGTATTAGTTTTGTAACTTTTATAGAACTTTGAATAATTGACTGTTGAACAGGCTGAATTGAAGTTAATGGTGGCTTGATCTACAGCCTGGTGCTTATTCTCCTTTGTAACTAAATATTTTGACCGAACCTTACATTTGGCCTCCGAAGTAAAGCAACACACGGGGGGAGGTGGAACACTGTGGAAATTTCTAAAATTTAAATAAATTAGGCAAAGCCAGTTGAAACACAACTAGAAGTATCACTGAAGTCATCCACACCCAAAATAGACAAGGTAGAAACCCGGCTGAACTTTTCTCTCTTCAAACCTAGATGCTTCAGCTAAATGAGAACCCAGATAAAGGACGCCTTTGGGGGGAAAAGATCGCTTGAGTCTTCAGCCCATTGGAGAGACCCTGGCCGTGCAACCAGCTGTTGAAAAGGTTATTTTGTAACATTTTGTCTAACTTTTTACTTGTTTAAGTTGCGCCTCAAGTGGCAGATTTTACATTTTATGTGCCATTTTGTTGCTGTTATTCAAATTTCTTGTAATTTAGTGAAGTGAACGACTACCGATTTCATTATTGGCTTGGATATTTGAGGTAAAACTTCATTTTTGTTTATATAGTGCTGACTTCTATTGGAAATTAAAATTGATGGTATTTTGCTGCCTCCAGTTTCATACTGAGGAATCATGCAGCCACTATATGCTGATAGCTAACTGTCAAAAAGTACTCTCAATTTTATCTTGATCCCTTAAAATCTGCAAAACTTCAACTTGAAACTTACTGTAAATGCTTTTTTTAAAAAGAAAGAAAAACTTAAAATAGCATCTTCAAATGCAAATTGGTAGAAATCTTTTCAGGTGACAGTTGATATTTGCAAGGATTGTTTTATCAGACTCAATTCTAATCTCTTCTCTTATGTATTTTTGTGCACTAGGCGCAGTTGTGTAGCAGTTGAGTAATGCTGGTTAGCTGTTAAGGTGGCGTGTTGCAGTGCAGAGTGCTTGGCTGTTTCCTGTTGTCTCCTGATTGCTCCTGTGTAACGATGCCTTGTCGTGCAGAAACAAATGGCTGTCCAGTTAATTAAAATGCCTGACAACTGCACTTCCAGTCACCCGGGCCTTGCGTAAAAAAAATGGAGCATACAGTGAGCACATCTAGCTGATGATATACACACCTTATTTTTTCCAGAATGGTAAAACTTACCAACCTACATATATGAACTTACATATGAGAATTGTAATGTTAAGCAAAAAAATGGTTCATTCCTTTGTAAGTACTGATTGGTGTATCTTTTGCTTAAGACATTCTGTACTATACCCACTGTCTCTGTAGTTAATATTAAACATTTTTTTCTGTGTTAACTTTTCTCAACTTAATGTCTTGGGTCAGCTTATTTTTAGCTTGAAAAGATTTCTGCAATTATACTGTCAATGTTTAACTTCTATATAGTAACTAAATGCATTCTACTGCTTATAAAATTTATCCACTGGGGTTGCTTTTAAATTACTGTGGGCAAAGTTTAATTAGCATTGTTACTAACTCAATGTTGTGTGGCAAGTAGTAACACACCAAGCCACCAACACAGAACCAGCCAGGTCCTGGGATGGTGTTGTGGGAGGTCCACACTAAGCAGTACTAATAATTGCATTGCTGTGTGCTTGCCCTGGCTCACCAGGCTGCTGCTTGATGGGGGCTGATCTTTACAGTGATGATTTCTCTTGATTTGGTACCAAATGACTTGTAACTTCAAACATCCTGTGTCAAGGGTTATTGTAATGCCTTGTTTTATTTTATGCATGTGTGTTAAATGGGAATGGAAACATCTGAACACTGGCAGTATGGCTTTGTTGAGGATTAAAAGTACTTTTCTACAAACTGAGGAGTTTGTATGTTCCAGGTTAGAGCAGACTCCACACACATTTACACAGAGAGGAGGCTGGCTTTTGTATGTTGATCTTTGGGAAGGATTCTCAGTCCTGGGAAAGGGATCTTATGGGGATGTTTTTTATTTTAAGAGTGCAGTTACCTTTTCATAGCTGAAGTTGTAGATTTAGGTTGGATCTTGTGGATTTCCAGGTTAAACCTTGTTGTGCAGTGGCTCACATGTTGGAACTGAGGCTCTGAAATATTTCACAGACTTGAGGGAGGAACACAAATTTCTCAAAAGCCATAGCTGGAAAACCAAACAGCTTTATTTTTACAGTGCATGTTTTAAGAATTGCTGTTTCCCCAAAATATCCATGAGGTTTGCTGTAACCAGGACTGTTCTCTGCAGCTCTGTGCTACAGTGAACAGGTGACTATCACCTTGTACTGAAATCTGAAGTGGAATAAACAGAAGTACCCTCTGACTGTGCTAGTGAGATGATCATCATTTCAATTGTGTGTCTTCCTGGCAGAGAGGAGCTGGCCAAGTGCTCTTTGTCTGCACCAAAGGAGTGCAAGGGAACCGAGATGCTCTTCAGGTTCCATCTGCAGAGCAGAGCCTCGATAGACCAGTCAGCACTGAGGGGAGGAAATATGTCACAGTATTGGCACAGTACAGCTGACCTAGACAAAGTAAATCTGACCATAACACAAATCCAGTTCAGCTAGTTCATACCTGAACATGTCCCCAGATAAGTTACAGGGGGACCCTCAGCCAGCCCCATCCAAGCTGAGATGTAAGCACACCTCTGGCCAGGGAATCCCAGCAGGGAGAGAGATCTCAGCCAATGCCTGTCTAGCCCAGGAGTTTTGATTTTGGTATTTAAGTGATTTTTGAATAATAAATGAGGCTGTTTGTCTCGTGAGCACCTGGATCAGGAGTTTGTGGAGTTTTCATCTCCCCACCCACAACCAGGAGAAAACTGTTACAGAAACAATTGTAAACATAACCCAGGGTTATCACTGCTACAGTAAGTCAAGCAGGTTGTCACCAAAATAGTCCAACACAGATGGGTTTGTAACAGTTTTCTACTTAACAGCAAATTGGTGGTTCTTTGATTGTTCTCAGATTTTGTTGCCTCCAGGCTTTCCTGAGCCAGAGTGGTGATGCCACAGAGGAGTTAATGCTCGTCCTTAACTTTGTTGAGTTAGATCTGTTGACAGTTAAGATTTGAGTTTTAAATATGTTTAAATATGTAAAAATTTACCTTCGGACTTGGTAAGTTGTCCAGAATTGAGCGTGTGGATTCTTCTCCAACAAGAAGTAAATTGTAGTTAAAATATCTTCAAAGTCTGTGTAGTTTGGGAGATAAAACGGTCTGGGTTAGTCTCTGGATTCCAGGTGTGCGGTAAATCTGCCTGGTTCTAGGAAATGGCAATTACAAATCAGTGCAAGCACAGTGTATCTGTAGGAGAGACCCAAGCATGGCATGAAGGGCCTTAGTTATTTACTCCATCTTCTATTTCCACACCCTCAGCTGCATTTATGACAGCTCTAAACTGGAATTACCCCAGAGTAACAAGGTCAGTAGCACAATGCTGTCAGTAGCACCTGCTCTACTGACACTGTTCCCAGCACTACTTGAACTCAAAGATAGTTACGAGCACTAACGTACCTTTGGGGTCAAAAAAGACATCTGAGCCTAAGATAATGTCTATGGGAGCAAGAGAGAGCAGCTCAGATGACACGCGGCCCCAGGTGAGGCCGAGGACGGGTACGTGGGGCAGGCGGTTCATGAGGCAGCTGCTGCGGCACCGCTGCAGGCAGTGGGGCAGCTCCTCGCTGTCCGACAGGATCACCTGGGCACCGCACCTGGCGGCCACCACGCCGGGGAGACTCACACCAGCACCGATCTGAAACCACAGCGTGATCACGGAGACCGCGGGCGGAGCTTTACCCGCGGGTCACGAGAGGTACCGGGCGGGGAGCGGGCGGTACCTCCAGCACTCTCTTGCCGGGCAGGCTCCGCCTGTGCGCCCACAGGTATTGGGCCAGGACCACGGCGCAGGGCCACACGTACATGCCGTACTGCGAGTCCAGCACCTGCAAGACACGGGGCGAGGCGCTGTGCCGGGGTCCCGGGATCTCGCTGTTCCCCGTGGCCCGGCTGCCCCCGGTACCTCGGGCACGCGCACGACCAGCGCCTCCGGACCCTCCTCGAAACGGTACCGCCGCGCGCGCTGCCGCCGCGGCTCCGCCATGGCCCAATCGCGAGCGGACACGTATTGGCGCCAGGCCACGCCGGCCAATCGGCGCCTCCTCCCGGCGTGACGTCACGCGGAGTGCCGCCGCGGGCGCTGATGGC